GGGTCAGGACCGGATCCAGGACCGGATCCAGGACCAGATCCAGGGTCAGGACCAGATCCAGGGGCAGGATCAGGACTGGATCCAGGACCGGATCCAGGGTCCGGACCGGATCCAGGGTCAGGACCAAACGTGTGCTTGTTGCCTGAGCTCAGGAGGCGTTGACCTCGGAGGTGTTTGTGCGAATGTTGCAGGAGCAGTACGTGTTTGTTCACGACGCCATCTTGGAAGCGTGTCTATGTGGGAACACAGCCATCCCAGTGTGCGAGTTCAGAGCCGTGTACTACAACATCAGCAGACTGGACCCTCAGACCAACTCCAGCCAGATCAAAGACGAGTTCCAGGTGAGTCCAAACATCGGCTTTAGAGTCCGAGCCTTTCAAAGCGGTTTTAATCCTTTGTTTCAAAACTCCAGACTCTGAACATCGTGACACCAAGAGTGCGTCCGGAGGACTGCAGTGTGGGTTTGCTCCCTCGAAACCACGATAAGAACCGAAGCATGGACGTTCTGTCAGCTGACCGGTGCCTCCCCTTCCTCATCTCTGTGGACGGAGAGAGCTCCAACTACATCAACGCAGCCTTAATGGATGTACGTTGATTTACTGAGTGAAACTTCAGACCTGCTGAGATGCTTTGATTTTTATTTCACCCCCCACCCCCACCCACAGAGCCACAAACAGCCAGCAGCCTTCATAGTTACCCAGCATCCTTTGCCAAACACCATGGGGGACTTCTGGAGGTTGGTGTTTGACTACAACTGCTCCTCCATCGTGATGCTCAACGAGATGGATGCAGCACAGGTAAGACGCTCACGACTAAAGATCGTTTCAAGAGTTATGAAACAGACAAACATCAAACAGACGTTAAACAAATTCTAAACGAAGCAGATATTCAATAATTTATGAGTCGACACACTGTTCCAGTTCTTAGCATTAAATATTGTCAACAATAGTATTAGGAAAAACATTGTTTTACTTTATGGTAAAATTATCCACCGGTTGGTGTCTGGGGTGAAGATAAATGATTGTGCACCCCCCCCCCCCCCCACACACACACACACACACATTTTAATAAGTGATTATTTTCAGTTCAACAAAAAAACTATGTAAATATTGCAAGTACTTGCAGATACTGAGCAGTTAATGTTAGTACTTAAACATTACACAAAGACTTTAAAAACACAGCAAACAGTCTGCTGTCCTAACATGACCTGTATTTATCTTCAAATATCTTTAAACTATAAACAGTTTTAATATCTTGTCTTTGGTTATGGTGGAAGAGAAAATGACCTCACACAACATAGAAGTGGTATCAGTCCTAAGTATCGAGGTGTCTTTATGAGTACAAGTACCTAGGTGTTTTCTTTCAACATCTTCTTCTTAAAAACCCATAGTACTTCTGATAGTACTTCTGATAGTACTTCTGACATCAAATGAAAACACACCGTGTTAAATTGAAAAAATAAGAGCTGAATTTGTTTTGAACACCTGACGTCTCCGTGGAGAATGAAATGTAAATGTTTTTCATGCGCGCATCGTAGATGTCAGTTTTAACGCCGTCATCGTTTCCCTGCAGCTGTGCATGCAGTACTGGCCGGAGAAGAACTCGTGCTGTTACGGTCCGATTCAAGTGGAGTTCATCTCAGCAGACATCGATGAAGACATCATCAATCGAATCTTCAGGATCTGCAACATGGCCAGGGTACGGCACGGTGTTTTGTAAAAACATCAGTCAGCTCAGGTGAACCTGAAAATAATCCGTGCTCCTGTGGGCTGGTCTCCGCCGGAAGAGGATCCTGGTTGTTTTCAGCCTCCGACACGAGCGCAGTCTGATTTAGAGTTTGCCAACTTGTGCACCCATCATGTCAGTGGTTTGTAACTCTTGTCGAACCCGATAGCTTTGCATTACAATCGAGACATCTGCAGTTCTTCAACATCTGGCTCGAGGGCCCAAAGTGGCCTTTAGACATTCTCCATCTGGCCCCAGATATCCTTAACTGAAAATTAAACAACCTTTATGAAAACCTGCATTTTACTAAAAAAATCTCCTCTGTTCATCTTGACTCAAAGAAGTCACGCTCGAGGACACGAGAAGATTTTGAACTGGTTTTACCTGAAAGGGCAGACTTTCACAGCAGCGTACAGAAGTTTTAGATGCACGGAGCCCAGTCACGAGCAGCTGCGCCGGGCAGCGTGCGAGGATGGTTTTTATAACCTTATCAACTCTTACACAGGCAGACTGATGACCTCAGCCACCCAGCTGCACGTGCAGGATCAAATCAGCTCCTCGTTCTCTCTGCTAACTCAAACACATGGTTCATGGGCAGTTAACATTCTCAGCCCTAGTAGTTAAAAACATCCATAAATCTTGACCAACATCTCCCGACATAATGAAATTTAAAGTCGTAATTAAACATCTTAGACAAATACGTTGACGACATTTGGATGAATTTCTTTGAAGTTGTTTCCAGAGCTTGACTGAACTTTAAAGACGCCTTGAAGCAAACTTATTTTTTCTTGTATAGTTAAGCTAACAAATATTTTGTCAGCCAAGCCAGTTTAGATTGGAGACGTACCAACTACAAGGAGTTAAGACGCTGTTTAAAAAAAATTCCAGTTCAGCCCTTTGACTGCGTTCAGTATCTCGCTTCAGCCCTCTGAAACAAACGTTGCCCCCCCCAGTTCAACACGCAGATATAAGTGGAAGGGGCTCAAACCCTCCAGCATAGCGCCTACTTTTAATAAGTGAGAACTGGTTCCATTGATTCCCAGTCATGGATCATTTTCAGAGTTTTTCTCTTGCCCGTCCTCTCTCTCCATGACGGTACAACTCCGTACTGCTGCCCCATCATCTGCGAGCTCCTATAGTGAACCCCCCACCCTATATTGTGCGTCTCTTTCTCAAACACATCACCAGTGTAGTGTGAAGCGGCTCATATCGCTGCAATACGAGCACATCTCACTCAGAGACCGTTCTGAGTTCGACTCCATGAAATGAGGAGGTTTGAGAGAGGAACATCAACAGTCGGAGGACGGCTGGGCTCCACTGATACAACCTGTGCTGGTGATGGATGTTGGGAAGCCATGAACACAATTATTTGTATTTTTACTACAAACAACAAATCCTTTTCTGCATCAGCTGAAGTTATATTAGTGGCGTTTTGTTGAAAGACCCTTTGAGAATTAGTTTCTGAGACGAGATTTCTCTTTGAACGGCTACATGCTGCCAATGCAAAATGTCGACAGTTTTTAACTTTCTCTCTGCTCTTCACTTCAGTATCTTGTCAGCTTCGTGTAAATAACCATGGCATGTTTGACACTGGAGCCTTTTTAAGATTACAGAAATTAAATTTGGCTGAGGCAGTTCAAAGGTCGACCAACAAGAACCCCAGAATCAAAACGACTCTCCGTGCACCTCATCTGAAGGTGTGCTAGTAAAAGTTTCATCTGCACTTTTTCCTCCACAGCCGCAGGACGGTTACCGTTTGGTGCAGCACTTCCAGTTCATCGGCTGGCCGGCCTACAGGGACACGCCCCTTTCAAAGCGCTCCATCCTGCAGCTGGTCAGGAGGTTAGCCAAGTGGCAGGAGCAGTACGATGGAGGGGATGGCAGGACGGTGGTGCACTGCCTGTGAGTGGAACACAACGTGCACACACCTTAGTAACACCACGTCTGTTGGAGGCAGCAGCTGCAAACACATTATGCATTTTTCTCTTCAGACAAAGTTTATAAATATAAAGAAGTTAAACTTTTCATAGGTCACCTCAAACACACTGCTTCTCTACGTGACAAAGAAAACTGCTGAGCGTCACAAAACTCATTTTAAAGTTTGTGTTGTTTATGTGGAGGAACCAAATTATAATTTACTACAGTGAAACGAGCTAAAATACCAAGTCACAGCTTGTAAATGCACAAAGACAAAGAACCTCCGGCTAAACGTGCTGTGGTCTATGAAACGGGCGAAGTGCTGAAACTTCCACTTGTTTGCTGTTTATCTGCAGAACTGGAGGGGGTCGATCTGGAACGTTCTGTGCCATCTGCAGCATCAACGAGATGATCCAGCAGCAGAACATCGTGGATGTTTTCCACACCGTCAAGACTCTGAGGAACAACAAGACCAACATGGTGGAGACGATGGTAAGCAACAGATCATAAAGCGTTTGCACGTGGGTTCAAGTAGAGAAACTGCATTTCCTGCAAAAATCCTCTGTGAATGCTTATTGCAGAAGAACCTGACTTGGAAGAACAAGCCTAATTGCTCAATTAGGTTTAAATGAGCAGAAATGAGGCTGAACGTAGCTAAAAAATGCTACAAAGATGAAAAGGCAGAAGACAGACATGTGTTTGCCCAGTTAGGCTGAAAGAAGCAGAAATTACAAGAAGGAAGATGTTTTTGCTGAATTCGGCTGAAATGAGTGCAAAACGTGGGATTAGTTGAAACTTGCACAATAACAAATCAAAGTGCACAGCGGGAACGTTGGCACTAGTTGTAGCAGAGATTGTTTGTGAAGTTACTTCACAATTTGATCACCTCGCCCACTTCCACGAGCACTGAGCTAAAATCTGAAATAAAAATCACCAACACAACACGTTCATGTCAGAGTTGTCAGACACTCAGCCTAAAGAACCGGTCAGCTGCAGGGTAAACTTCTGCTCTTCATGTGAAGTTTTACTAACAGAGCTTCTTGTCCTCTCAGGAACAGTACAAGTTCTGCTACGAAGTGGCTCTGGAGGCGCTCAACTCCTTCTGAGGAGACCGACCTCTCAACGCAACACCGAGACACACAAAGTGCACAACTGTGAGCTGCAGGTGTGTGTGTGCCTGCGACAACACACACACCGGTGGGTTTAGTTTGCTCAGTAAGATGACAGACTTTACACGCTTGTACAAAGAAAATTGTGTTTAAAAAAAAGAGGCCCCTTTTTTCTTTTTGTTTCGGCCGGGCTGTGATGTGACGGTTGTACAGTTCTTCTTTTAGAGATGTTCTACACCTTGAATGTTGTCTCCTGCTGGAGGTCGGAAGCACACTGGGAGGTTTCAACAACTCTAAACGTCATTTTTAACCAAATGACTGTGCCACTAAAAACAAAAGCATCGCTGCTGTTAAACTGTAGAAGATCATCACCGTAGCGTGAAACGTCTCCTGAGAGCCGGTGATGAATCTCAGGAGCAACCGGCTGCAGGTGGCCTTCATAAAACGAAGCATCAGATCTAGAGGTGAACAGAATCCACAGGAAGGAAGAATTGTAACAACTTGGTTGAACCTAAAGTTAAAAACCTGCAGTTGTTTCTATTTTTGTGTATTTAGATTGAACAAAAGGACAAATATGAGCTAAAACCAGACGCTACAGTAAACAAGGCCAGAGCTCAAAAATCTAACAAACGGTCCTCAGTGTAAAAAAAACAAGTTGAAAGTGTTTCAGGAAAATATCCTGATTAACAAAGTGAAGTCAGGTCGTCTGTTGGAACGTTCCAACAAGAAGAGTCCGTCCAGACGACCTGACTTCACTTTGAGTTTTGTACTAGTTTCTTACGTTTGACTTCAAAGTGACTTGAAGTTTAGGTAAAATGAGTCAGTTCAAAGAAATATCAGAGTTGTCCCAAACGTTAGTTTCTTTTCTCTACACAACTCTTAACGTCACTCCAGAAGACAGTTCCTTCCAATGTACTTTATTTTGAAAGGTTTAAAAAAATGGAAGTTCGTCCATTCATCGCTCTGCTGAAGAACATAAAGACAAGGCTAGCAGAATTAGCAGCAGCAAACTTCTCTGTGCCTGAAGCCTTTAGTTCTTTAGAGGGATTTCCTTATGATAAAAGTTATTACCTGGAATTTTTTTGGGACTTTGAGAGCAACTTCTCCAAACACAACTATAAAGAGAATTCATGGTCCAACGCCCACATTAGATGAATAAATATTGTTTAACCTCCATGCCCAGAGGAAGTTCTCTCTCTTCTCCATCATCCAGATGCACCGAAGCTGTTTGGTAAAAAACCTTCCCGTGTGCCTCCACCTCCTCTGTAAATAAAAACCACATTCAAACAAACAAACACCAACATTATTCCCACTCAACCTCTGAAAAGCTGTTTGTCACGTTCATACGATATAATTTTGTGCGTTATCTTTCTACATGTTGTATTAAAACTGAAGATTTGCATTTTGCACATTCTGAGCAGCTTTTTCTGTTTGGGCTGAACTCTGATCAAAATCAAGACGTAGCTTCTTCAGCAGTCCATTATCTGGTTTTTGATTCATTTGAACCTAAAAAAAAATGGAGGGCAAACCAACTTTTAACCCGCCTTTTTAAATCTGATGCATGTTGAACACGATAGCATGTGGAAAGCTGTAAATACAGAAAGAGCTGATGTTTTCTCACTATTTTTGCAATTAAAGAGAGAAGTCATCGTTGTGTTGACATTCAGCAAGAAATCAGTTAAGTGTCCTTGATTTCCATCGGAGCCGTGTTGCATTTTGAGGATAAACTCAGAGTTCAAAACGTCTCCTCTGGGTGCCGTCCATCATTAAAACGACAACGGCCGGTCTCGTTTAATTTCCCTTTGCAAACAATGACCGAACTGCTTTCCGCCGAAACAACCGAGAGCAGCTCGTTTAAAAATTCACCTGAGAAACTCGTTTCATGTTTGAAAGGAAATGACTCGAGTCCGCAGTGGAACCGAGGGTCAAACGCTCCTCTACGATTTCCTACTTGACAAATGTTTAATGTTCCATTTAAACGCCATTTTTAAGCTCTGGACAGTTTTTTATGCCGGATATTTTTGTCCCAGTTTCTGATCCTCGGAGAGGTTGCATGGATTAAAGCAACATGTATAAAAGATTAGTGTCATACTGTTCAGTCTGTGTTTCCTCCCATCGAGTCCAGTCTGGCTCTTATGGACCTATTGATACAAAGACAGCACCGCCGCTGTGCTGAAGACAACGTGAATGCCAGAGATCTTTGTTCCTTTTTTACGAGCTTTTATTTATTTATTTTGGGCTAAACTCGTGGCCATTAATTTGTTTTACTTTGTATTTTTGCCTTTTTTATATAAATCTTATTGGGATGATTATTCGTTTAGCAAAGTGCTGTTTAGATCTGGTGATGCCATTTTCATTGGTTGTTTAGTTGTTTGAATTGTGGTTAACATTAAATAAAGGGACCAAAATGTTGAACGTCATCGTCTCTTTTTGTGTCAGATCGCCTGTAAGTTGGTTTAATTAATAATTTAAAGTTACCAACAAAGTCGATGTGCATGTTTTGGGTCAGTGGAAGACACCTGGAGAAAATCCATGCATGAAAAGGGAGAACATGTAATCGCTACACAAGGAGGCTGCAGTGAGTTTTAAACAAACTATTAATTAAACATCTCAACTTAAAGACGTTAGATTCATGTAAGGTCCAAACCAAACCCATGGCACCAACTTGCACTTCAGCTTCTTCCAGATCCACGTTTGTGGAATGAACAAGCTGAAGAAAATGATCTTACACCAGGACATCATGTGACAGGGCCCATCTGGAGATTAGTGGCCACACCACCTACACTCAACACGGCAGCAACCACAGGATTCCATAATCAATGGATTTATGTAGTACATCTGCCAAGAACACAAAGAAATGCACCGACGATGCGCAGCTCTAACGGTAAAACAAGCAACCCCTGCTACAGGTAACGACACTGCAGGACCGTGTTCGCACAGAGCAGCATAAAAAGCGTGTGCTTGTTGGACTACTTTGCCAATGTGCTGGATCAGGGCAGGAAACCAACAAAGTGAAGATGCAACACAATCTTCTGACTTCCTTAGATAGATAATATTACCAATTGTTTTATTAATGTATGTGAATGTTTTTGTACATGAGACGACTTCAGTTAAATGAACTGAATGGAGTTCTGTGCAAGCTTCGTTATTGCAGCAGTTACAGAGAAGGCTTATGGCATTTCAAGTTCAGGTGAGACCAGCTATGCTGTGTGGTTTGGAGACAGCGGCATTGACCAAATGTCAGGATATGTATTCTGTGTAAGACCCGATACAGGTGACGCACCAGTTCATACGAGTTTACAGGAGGTATAGTGCATAGATATGACTATAAATACTTCTAGTGAAAGTCCATTGGTTGCACACAATTCATTAATTCCTTTATATCCAAGCTCTGTTCTCATGGAGAATGTCCTTGATGGTATACTTAAGAAAAAGGGACTAATCTTTCTAGAACCATCTAAATATAACAGCACCTTGATGATCTGTCAACAGACAGGCATGCAACACATCCGACCCAATGCTATTCATTTCTGATGAGTGTTAACTCAATGTCCTCAAGCTCAGCACAGTCTAGAACTTCATCTGTAAAATACTGATCCCATTTGACTGAAGACAGGAGACAGACCTGGAAGTGGTAAAGCTGAAGATGCTGAGGTTCTCCTTAGGAATGACGATGGAGAAGATCAGGAATGAGATCATCAGAGGTACGACACAGGTTGAACAACTGGGAGATGAAGTTGGAGAGGACACACTGAGATGGTTTGGACATGTCCAGAGGAGGGACAGTGCTGTGGACATGTCCAGAGGAGGGACAGTGGATATATTGGTAGAAGGATGTTAGAAATGCAGCTGCAGGAAAAAGACAAAGAGGAGACATATGGATGCAGTTAGAGAGGACATGGAGGTAGTTGGAGTGAGGACAGAGGACGCAGAGGACAGAGTGAGATGGAGGAGGACTCGCTGTGGAGACATCTGAAGAGGGCACAGTTGGGAAAAAAAAAAAGATACACCATTTTTAACATGACTAAAACCAAAGTTCATGCTCAATAATCCAGGTACAAATGCACCAATGTTCAGTCAGGTCATCTGGATGGTTTCTTTTTTGTTTGTTTTTTGCTGAGACGTTTGTCCTTCATCTAAAGGACTTCTTCAGTCCGAGGAGCCACAAACAAACTGGAGTCCCACAACCACCACACTCCCATAGTGGAAAAAAAAACCCAGTTTGCTCTAACTGCATCCATATGTCTCCTCTTTGTCTTTTTCCTGGCAGCTGCAGTTCTAACATCCTGCTACCAGTATACCCACTGAAATGCTTCAGAAACACAAAGTGAAGTGGGAGTTCGACTTGACCTCAGCACCTTTGGTTTTCTACAACCATGACTTCATGTAATGAGCTTTAAATAAAATGAAACCTCGGGTCTTTTACGGTGGATTTTTCCTTTCTAATCAATCAGCAGGTGATGAATACAGCTTTGCACCAACGGCTTCATCATTTATTTAGGCAGTTGATTCCCAAGGAGCTCATCAATATGCATGAAGGTGTGATTAGCGTGGACACCAAGGACGGGGCCTGTACCTCGGCATTATGACGATCAATCAGAAATACCGAGGGGCTCCGCCGAGGGAAGCGGTCTGTCAGCTCAGCTTTGGGCTCAGTCGATCCACACACATCAAAGTAAAAGGTGTGCTCAAAGCCTGCACGCAGGTGACCTCCCAGAAACGCCCGTAAAGATGCCGTCAGCATTCCCCGTCTCTTTTGGACTTCTCCTCCTTTCAGAGCCGACTTGTAATGAGTTTGAAAATTGGCCCATTTCATTTGTTCTCACTGAAATGTCATGTTCTGTGTGAGGAGGGGTGGGGGGGGGGGGCTGTGGGGAACAGTAATATATTTGTTCCACTTAAACAGGGTTATTAATATTTTCTCTTTCCCTAAGAACTTGTAACAAGGTTATTGGGATTCTGCAGCACATTCAGAGCATCTCCATCTGTCAGATTTAAACTGATTATGAAAATGTGACAACGTGGCCGACACTCGTACGCAGAGGTTTTTTATTTTTTATATATAAATCTGAGTCCACTCACAGCTGCACAAAGTTCCCCTTCAGGCTTCTTCAGTCCAACTCATTCAAATTTCAGAGCGTTTGTATCAAACTTCTTAAATAGGGTCATGGTTTATTGGCCTGAAGCTAAAACTTGGACGTCTTCTTTGAACATTTATTATTCTTATACAATCAGATTCTACAAACCAGAACTTTTTTCCTCTTAATATACACGTCAGAGCAAATTACTTTTTAACAATGGCTTCCCTGAAGAATCGCCCCCCGCCTTTATGACAATGTTTTAAACTTGAACCCTCTTTTGACAAGAAGGGATGAAGTTACAGCCATCCCTAGGGAGATGCTTCAGACACCTACAAATATCTGGTTTTAGTACGTTACCTTGTTTTACAGCACCTTGATTTAATGTTTTATAACACCACTTTCATTTTTACTGCCCTTTACTGTTGTTGTCTGCACTTTATATGTTCTGCCTGGAACAGGTCTCGCTTGTAAATGAGTCCTCATGGCTCAATGAGACTAGC